ACCTTGCGGGTTCCTGCCGCCGGTCCCTGTGGAGCAGAGGGGAGACCTTGGCCCAGAAGTGCTGAGAAACAGGCCCCACAGAGGAGGAGGAGCAAGACAGCAGGAGCCCGGGAGGCCTCAGGCACTGGCCGGACGCTGCCCCGCCTGACGGCCCCCGACGGGGGGAGCTTGGCCGGAGCAGCGTGCAGACGGAGGTGCCGGTGGCAAAAGGATGCCGGATGAATCCGGCCAGCAACCGCCGCTCCGGTGTAATGTCAGGCTGGGGAAGATGGGGTCTCTTCCCTGCTCCTTGAAGGTTATAGCTACGTATGAATGTTGGAGCCACTGAACACCTGCCTAGGAATTCCCAGCTGGGGAAGCAAACTCCGGAGTCTCCCCAGCCTCTGGTGTGCAGATCAAGGGGCTCAGCGCCAACCACACCACTGGCAAGTGCACGACATCGGGTGCAGGACCACAAAGCGAAGGGAGAGGAATGCAGGGGCATTCCAGTTTCCATCTGGGAGCGAGCGCCAGAATTCTAGCCTCATTCTCACTGGACGTGGGCGTTAAATCCCAAGGTCTCAATTCCCGGCACGGAGATGAGAAAGAACAGCATGTGGCTTTCTGTGTGTTATGTCACAATACGTAATTTTCTCTTTTTTTGGCTGCCTCCTCCCTCCCTTTGCTCGCAGCCTTGACTGCAGCAGGCGGGAGGGGCACCCGGCTGAGCGGGCCCGTTTCCATGGCGGTGGGGCCCGTGGCGTGGGCCTGCTCGCTCACATAGCACGCTGCTCTGGACGTGCAGAAGAGCAAGGACAGCCACGGTCTTGACCTTCTGAGAGCCTCTGGGAGGTTTTGTGCACAGAGATTTGAGTGTTTTCTGTGCTGGAGACCGTGGAGCCTGGGCGGGGTGGGTTCTCCCCTCAAGACGTGGATAGAATGTCGCAGGGAAAGCAGAGACACGTGGGGGGCACCGGACGAGGCCCCCTTGCTCCGAAGCGCCTCGCGGGCCCCGGCCGCACGCTCACCGCCCCTATCCAGGCGGGCGTGGCAGAAGGAGGAGGGAGGTCCGGGATTGCTCCCACACGCCCCGGTACCCCCAGCCCTCGGCACACTGCTCCTTGCCTGGAGGAGGCGCTCTGGGAGTAGTGGTTGAATAAATGAAGGGATAAATAAAGGTGAAAGTGGCAGGAGGTACAAGAGGTGCCCCTTCCTGCTCAACTTGCAGTAACTGCCCGGGTCCTGGCGGCCCTTCAGCCCTTCTCTGGGCTCGCTGCTTCCCTATTCCTCCGTGTTGTTGCCCAAACGCTTTTGTTTCGCTGGGGGGCCCTGCCTTGCTCCCCTCCTTGGCGTCCTGCAGAGCCAGCCCCAAGGCAGGCTCTCCTTCCGCCACGTCTGTGCCATTCACACGGCTGTCTCGTGCCCCACCTGCGCCGTCACACCGTAGATCTTCTGGATGAACTTTTACCCAACTGTAGAGCAAACGTCTAGAAGGCTGGGACCAGGTCTTCTGTTGCGTCTTTCCAATCCCTTAACACAGAGGCCATGATAATTTATCATGAAGATACTCCTAAGCATTCCCAGACATATCAGGGTAAAAATGTCCTTGGCTCGGAAAAAATAAGGGGGTAAAATAAGGCGGGTAACTTACAGGCCCTTTCTGAGATAGCGAACAGTCTGAATTTCACGTTCTTTCACAGATCATACTCCACAGTCATCGGCATGAGTGAATTAATTGTAGGCACATTTCTTGAGCCTGTAGTTTACAGAAGCTACTGCTTTTAAACTGGATTTCCCCTTTTCATTGAGGTATTCCTCCAGAAATAATTACACCTTGATCCTGACTCAACTAAGCCCAGTTTTAATGATGCTATGATTGATGATCATTGACAGCAATCCACGGTTCAGTGTCTTTTCCTCTTGTGCACAGATGCTCTGGATGGCCCCTCTGCACGACGGGGGAACATGGAAGGCAGCTCAAGCCTTGGGGTGAAGACAGGAAAACTGAGGTCTCCCGCTTTCCCTGTGAGTAGGTGAAGAGTAGATGCAGCTGACAGCATCCTCGGGTTAGACACCCATTCCGCCACCGGCACGCTCCAGACACCTCCAGGAGGCGCCTGAGATTTCCCGATGGACAAAAACCAGCAAGATTCCCCCGAGATGACTAGATCTGGAGTCAGAGGCCTCCGCTGGCTTTGGCTCCCGGGAAAGCTTCAGTGTTTGTGTCCCGCACATTTGTTATGTTGCGGTCTTCATCTCCAGTGTGATGGTGTCAGGAGGCAGCCTTCGGGAGGCGATTCAGTCCTGGGGTGAAGCCTTCATGAGTGGGATGAGTGCCCTTATAAAAGAGGCCCCAGACACCCCTGACCCTTGCGCCAGCAGCGAGGAGACTGCTCTGTTGAAGCAGGAACGGCCTCCCGGACACTGACTCTGCGGGTGGTCTGGGGCCGCCAGCTTCCAGAACTGTGAGGAATCAAGGTCTTGTTCAGATGGCACCCAGGCTGCGGTGTGTTTGCTAGGGCAGGCTGACGGGATGAGACAGCCCGCACCACAGGGTGCGGGTAGTAGGTCCAGGGTGTGGTGGACGCTTCTCGGCAGACTCACTCCTGACACAGTGTATGTGCACGATTTCCAAACACGTCCAGTGGCCGGGTCATCCATAGGAAGTTGGTCATAAATGGTCCCGGGTGGTTATGTATGTGGAGAGATGAAAACCGTCATCGAGAAGGGCCGCTTGGCAGCTGGCTTCGGATTCGGACGTTCCTGAGCTGGGACTGCTGGCCGGGCACTCACGGTCCGCGTGGCTTCTCTGATGCCGCGGCCTCATCTGTCCCAATGTCTGCTGGGCGCTCAGGGCCCCGTGATGGGGTGAGACCAGGGATACGACGGAGGGTCTCCGTCCCACCGCGAACACCATGAGCGCTAGTAACACACTAATAATAAAAATTGCAGACTTCACAGACAAGCGTGAATAAAACATGACAGCAATGGGATTAGAAGGCCAAGGAGGCAGTGGGAGGAGGCTGTAAGGTGCCTCTTGGCAGCAGGTCGACAAGAGGGGCCGGGGCGGAGGCCCTGGGAAGCATGACCCCTACAAACACAGCCAGCCCCGGGTGCGAGGGAGCCTCGGCCACAGCCCCCTCGCGTCTCCGACCAGAAGGAAGTGAAGTCACTGTCTCCAATGTGCCTGCTTCCAGAAGCTGGGGGCCCGCGCCCCTTGCAGCGTGGACAGGGCAGAGGACCGGCAGGGGTGGTATCCGGGCCAGCGACATGGGCGGGAGCTGGCTCATGTCACCTACTGATGCGTGACCACGTCCTCTGCCTCTGATGGCCTTGCCTGGACAGAAATCTGCCTGAACGCTCTTCCTCGTCTGGGCTCGTGAGTCCTACTCGAGGGGTGCTCTACGAGTCCGTCTGTCTGCCCTGTGTCCTCCCTCTGCTGCAGGCACTGTTTCTCCCAGGCAACCTGGGGAGCCAGGTGGACCTCTTTCTTAAGTTGAAAAATGATTCTTCTTGGGGCGCCTGGGTGGCTCAGTCGGTTAGGTATCTGCCTTCGGCTCAGGTCATGATCCCAGGGTCCTGGGATCGAGCCCCGCATCGGGCTCCCTGCTCGGCGGGAAGCCTGCTTCTCCCTCTCCCGCTCCCCCTGCTCGTGTTCCCTCCCTCGCTGTCTCTCTCTGTCAAATAAATACATAAAATCTTAAAAAAAAAAAGAAAAAAAGAAAAACGATTCTTCATAACACAAAAGATTCAAAGAGGGCTTTCATCTCCCAGCTTCCCACCAGCTCCGCTCTCCTGGGATCTCTGTCCCCTGCTCCCTGCCCCTGCGCTGGACCTATGCCCCCGGCGGCTCTCCTGACCCTGGGATACTGAGCAAGTGTTGCTCTCATGCGCTAATGAACTGTCACCTCAGGATTCTTCATTTCTCTGTGGCCCTTGGGTCCCTCTCCCATGTCCCAGTACTGGTTAGTGTGGACACTGAGCTTCAGACACGGGCCTGCCTGTTTGGGATGCGTGTGCTTCATCTGACCTATCCATCAGCAGCCATCAAGACCGAGCCCCTGGCAGACTCCCAGAATCGGAACCGAGCGCGTCCTGGGACCCCGAGGGGGTGACGGGGCCGTCACTGGTGCCCGCTGCGTGTCTGCCCCTGAGCCACCAAGCAGCAGACGGGCCTGACCGCCGGCGCCATGTGCTGGCTGGGGCCACGGCCTGGGTCTGAGCCTGTGCCCGGCGTGGCGCCGCCGGGGCCCCTGGCAGTGAGACCCTCATCACTCACGGGGTGACTGTCTCCCCTGCCCTCCGTGGGGGCGAAGCCAACAGAAGGTGGTGCGTAAGCGGCAGAGAGCTTATGGAATTTCTCATCCCTGGAAATTCTGCTTCCTTGGTCTCCTGCTCATGGGGATTTGTGTGATAAACGGGAGAGGGGAAAGGGAGCGTTTTTAAAACCAAGACTGCCTGCTGCCTTGCATCTGCCATGTGAGACAGCCCAGGGAAATGCTCCGGGAACCCGGGATGCTGAGCAGGGCTCTGGTCCTGGGCCAGCCGCAGAGCTGGCGGCCTGCGTGGCTCCGCATGGCTGGTAGCCTCAGAGCGGCGTGCTCTCTCTCTCCCCGGTGCTCCCGGGGACATTTCTCTCCCACCGGCGCTTCAGGAAGCAGCATCAGCTGCCTCTTCAACCTTCCCCGAGTGGTGCCCCCCTCCCCCCCAGCTTCCTCCCTACGACAAGCCCTCCGTCAACTCTGCTCAGCGCCTCCCGCGCTCCCCGCACGGGTGCCCTCTGCCAGAGGCAGGCACGTCCCGTGCCAGGGCCCCGGTTCTCCCGGCTGCAGTCAGCTCAGAAGGCAGATGTGGCAAAACAAATTATTTTAGAAGAGTGTTATCGCAGCATCACAAAAATCCAGCATAAAGGGAACCAGAGTGCCCCCCGACTCCACCTTAGAGGCCCGCCCACTGGAGCCCTGCAAGGTGGGGAGAATCCAGACCATTCCCCCACCTTCACCCCCAGCTGAGACCCTTACCAGCCCTCGGGGGAGGTTCGCACAGCAGATAATTGGGATATAGATTTTTGAGTGTTAGCTGTCAGGACACTTTCATTACTAAGCCTACACCATTCTCTCTGGACTCACGGCTTCGGTTTTACATCTTCCGGAGGAATTTCCGTGCACACGTGTGCGCAGGCGCACTTTATAGATCATAAACATGCAAACGCCTTGACTAGCTTTACAAGGGGTGAGACTCCCTCTGGGACGTTGGGGCCCCAGTGTGACGAGGCCCCGTGAGGACGGAGGACAAGGGCGCCGGTGTCGGAGCGCACGCGCGGGGCATGGCAGGGGGTGGACGGATCAACAGGCAACTTGGCCGACGCTGGAGTAAGTCACAGACGCGGACGCGAGCAGAGCAATGATCTTCGCAGCGTTCGAGTGGAACCAAAAGCATCTGTGTGAACCCAGCATTTGCAACATATATGGACCAATATGGGAACACATGTAGATGTTAAGTGCGGAGAGGCATTTTTCTGTGCCAGAAAGTAAGGAAATGCTCAGGCAGCGACAGGGCCACGTGAGCAGATGCAGGGGCCAGCCGGAAGGGCTCCCACGGGCCAAACCGGGGACTGTTGGAGCATCAAATGATGAAAGTAATGGGTTATAACTCACAGCATAAAACAGGAAGCCCGGGTCCACACTGACTTAAGTTACTAAATTAATAGATTGAAAGTGCCGTGAGGAATGGGATATTTAGGTCACTGCAAAGTCCGTCCACACACAGAACAGTCACTAACGATGAGGAAGAAAGGAGACGTGCAACGGTAAAGACACTGTCAGCAGCTGGCTGGGATGCGTGGGAATCAGGTGCCCCCGGCAGGATGTGGGAGACCCAGGCCCACTTCTCCAGCAGACTCGACAAAAGAACATGCCCTGAGGAAACCTCAGAGGAAGCCCACCAAATAGTCCGCCCATGTGCCGAGGACAGGAAGGTCACACAAGTCCCGAGGAACATTCTGGAGGGAAGGCCACGAGGGGGCATGGCCACTAAATGCAAGGAGGGGTCCTGGGTAGATGCTTTTCTCTACAGGTGATGTGGGAACAGTTGGTGGAGATGGAGCAAGTCTACGGACTGGGTGGCAGTGGAGAGTCCGGCCAATTTCCTCATCCAGATGGAGGCGCTGTGAGCTCATAAGAGAATGTCCTTCGTTGTAGAAAGCACGCTGACGGTGTGTGGGTGACGGGAGACGCATTTTGTACCGTTCTTGCAAATTTCCTGTAAACTCTAAACTCTTTAGAAAGAAGAAGACATATGGTACCATGTGGCCGAGTGTCTCTGAGAGACTAAGGGACGGCAGGGAGTGGGGGTAGTTCACTGATCACCACATTTTCGGCTCCACTTTTTATTTTTAAGGTTTTATTTACTTATTTTAGAGAGAGAGCACGAGCATGCGAGCATGGGGAGGGGCAGAGGCAGAGGGAGAGAACCTCACGCAGACTCCATGCTGAGCGGGGAGCCAGACGCGGGGCCCGATCTCAGAGATCATGACCTGAGCCAAAATCAAGAGCTGGCCTCTCGACCGACTGAGCCACCCAGGGGCCTCCCAGCTCCACATTTGACTGTTTCCACCAGCTCCATTGATATTGGTGGTACCGTCTGTGTTAGGGTTCTGCAGAGAAAGTGGGAACTTACAGGATTGATACAGACATAGAGGAGAGCTTTATTCCAGGACTTGGCTCACAAGGCCTCTGCCATCTGCAGGCTGGAGGACGAGGAAAGCCTGTGGGGTCCTTCAGTCTGAGGCCCAAGGTCCGAGAACCTTCCTCTTATGTCTGAGGGCAGGAAAAGAGAGACGTGTCAGCTCAAGAACAGAGAGTGATTTGCCCTTCCTTCGCCCTTCTGTTCCATTCAGGTCCCAGCAGATGGGATGGTGCCCCCACGGTTGTGAGGGTGGGTCTCTACTGGGTATAATGAGTCAAATGCTCATGGCTTACAAACACCCTCACAGACACACCCAGCAACAATGTTTACCAGCCCTTAGCTCAGCCGAGTCAACACCTCCAATTACCCATCACGATCTGTCTCTGTGCATGCTCATCCGTTCTTGGCAGTGGAGACCTCGTAGGGAGCCCTGCATGGAATCAGTGTTAACCCTTCATTTGCCCCTGAAAAGCAGAACAGCAGAAACTCAGCCAGTTCAGGGAGACCCCAGGAACCCAGCTGGCTGGGTGCCTCGCATGTGCCAATGCTACCTTCACTCAAAGTGCATATATCAGAGTTCTCCAGAGAAACAGAGCCAGTAGAATGTGTGTGTGAGAAAGGGAGATTGATTAAATGAGTGAGTGAGTGAGTGAGTATAAGGATTTGTTTACATGATTACACAGACTGTCAAGTCAGAAACCTGCAGTTCAAGTCTGAAATCTGCTGGAGAATTCCTTCTTGCTCTGGGGAGGTCAGTCTTTTGTTCTATTCAGGCCTTCAGCTGATTGGATGAGGCCCACCCACACTAGGGAGGGCAATCTGTATTACTCAAAGTCTACCCATTTAAAAGTTAATCTCCTCTAAAAACACCCTCACAGAAACATTCAGAATAATGTTTGACCATGTATCTGGGTACAGTGGCCCAGCCAAGTTGACATATATGATTAACCATCACAGTGGACCAAGATGTTGAACGAAAGAACCAGAAGGAAAGCAGAACAATTTTTCAATTCTTTTGGCCCACATTTTCATGTGGGGTCCTTCGGTCTGAGGCTCAAGGCCCAAGAAACAACAGCTTGCTGGTTAAAATCGTATTTCATGATTTTAATGCAAAAGTGGTAAACTGCCTGAACATCACAGCTATGGTCCAACGTAAATGCAATGACATATTCCAAACACTATATCACTGTTCTATGCATTACACTTATGACAAACAGCATAGTGACCCACGGCAGCCTTACAGGTAACACAGAAGCAAGACTGTCCTGAGCTCAGCTTAAAAATCAGTGGCCAGTCTGGGGGCACCTTGGGGGCTCAGCTGGTTGCGCGACAAACTTTTGGCTTCGGCTGAGGTCATGATCCTGGGATTGTGGGATCGAGCCCCATGTCAGGCTCCACATGGATCCTGCTTGGGATTCTCTCCCTCTGCCCCTCCCCCTGCTCTCTCTCTCTCAAATAAATAAAATCTTTAAAAAAAAAATTTTTTTTTAAATCAGTAACCAGTCTGGAAATTAAAATAAGGGGAAGATGTACCACATTCTTAAGAGGTTGACAGATCCTCCTAAAGAGATTGTTGACTACAGAAAATCCCTGATAAAGGAACACAGACCCCATCAGACAGGGAAAATACGTTATTGCGGAGGCAGAGGTGAGCTTTACAACACAGTCTGTTTGCGGATGGAACACTGATGACTCATCCTTTTGAATACAAACTAACACAGAATTAATAGCAGCCCGCAATCAAGCTTAGTGAGGAGGGATTAAGAGGTCCTCGTTTTAATATTCAACAAGCCACACTCACCTGAGTGAACGCTAACTGCCATCTGCCTCCTCGTGGTCACCCTAGAAACTGCCATCCCAATGCACAGACATGGCCGGTGCTGGGGAGAGCTCCCGCCCAGCCCCGATGCCCAACGGGAGGCGAGATGACGATGGGGTGGTCTCCGGCTCCAGGCAGTGCGCTGGGGCCGGGCTCCCCCCACCAAACGCACTGCCTTTGCACACCTCAGATTTAAGGAAACTGCAAGTGACGGTTCTGCCTCCAAGAGTCTCAGACTGTCTTACCCCCACACGCAGAGCAGTGAGCCCTTCCCGAGCCACCCGTGTCAAAGCAGGTGTCCGTCCAGGGCACTCCCGCCCCCCTGGGGGGCATGGGGTGCCTGGGAGGTGCTGAGCCCGTGGTACAAGGCCTGAGTCACCGCCTGCCCTCCTGTTCTCTCTTGGCAAGAACAAGGGAGGAAAAGGCACGGGGCAGAGCCGATTCATCTCGACTGTAACAAGTGCTCAGTCATTAAATGCATTCCCAGACCTCAGCAGGTCCCCGGAGAGAGCCTGCGTGGGAGCAGGGATAGACTCCCCGTCCCACTGCCTTCTCTGGCCCTCGGTGGCCACGGTACTCCCTGCCCCACGTGGGGACTGCGCGGTGACGTGCACCACACCCCTTCCTGGAGCGTGGGCCTCCCAGGTTTGCTTGTCGGGCGAAGAGCCACCGTGTCCCTCGGACCATGCCTGTCGCGCTGTTACAGAGCTGTCTGGGGTCAGGGTCTCAGGCCCTCTGTATGCTGGGGATGTGGCCCGGGGACCCAGTGTGTTCTCTGAGCGGCAGCAGGCCGTGTTCTGCTGACCTCTGTCCTCTGCTGGCCCAGGACGGCCCTGCCCCTGCCCACCTGGCTCCCCTGAGGGAGCCCTGCCCCATGGTGGCCTCCCCCCACCCCCGTCATTCTCTGCAGGAACGAGGGCCCAAAGGGAAGGTGACTGAACTGCATGGTGTGCAAAGCCACACCGCAAGCCTCACCTTGAGGTTAAAGAGTGTTGGAGGACAATCGCCAGCGGCATATACCCGGTATATGACTTGAGGTTACTTACCATCTGTCGTAATTAGGCATAAAGCATAAAACTCGGCCTTTCCTACAATCCTGCACCTCTGAGTAGCAGCTGTAGAAGGGGACTGCTTGTCCTTCTAAGTCCCGTAGAGATAAAAATGAAAGAGAATACAGAGTTTAGGGAGATTCAGTTTGGGGGAACGTTGCTTCGCTTTCAAAGGAAATGACTTGGAAGCTCCTCCCGGATGGACAGGAGGCTTGGCGCACCTACATATGGAGACAGGGCAGAGGGAAAACCGCCATGTGGAGGACAGAAGCCAGCCAAGTGCACAGTAATTGAGCTGTACCCTTGATCAAACTACACCTGAAGGCAGTTTTCAATTACTGAGGCCAACTAATTCCCTTCATTTTTAAAGATAGCTTTCATTTTCTTGTTCTTTGTAACTGTCAGCGTCCTAACCGATATGCATGCATGTATGTTTTCATGAATATATACGTTTATATTTCTGTCGGTGATTATGTATTATCAGTGTGAAAGAAGTATCTACGCATGTGCTCATGGATCACTAACTCCCATACTCAAGAAGCAAGACTCTCTGAGAGCTAGTAACCCCTCTTCCA